AGTCCTCCCGTGGCTGCTCCCGGGAGGGGGGAAGCCCGTATTTCAAATTAATAAGCGGGGCCTTTCTTTTGCCCCGTGCAACCTGCCCGCTGCCCGCGCACACTGGCTATCTAGCATCCCGCGCGCTGAGCCTCTCTCCCCCCTTGCGGCATGTGCACGTGCAAGGGCTCTGCGAGCGTGCGGTGCCTTACTGCTCGGGAGTGCAGCGTCCTTCACAGCGGATTGGTTCCTCTTTCGGAGCAGAGGTAACGGCCCCCCCTCCTCTCCCTTAGGCGGGTGGCCGGCGTGGGAAATGGACCTGACGTGCTCAGCATGGTGGATGGGCAGCGCTGCCTTTGAGTCTCCTGCCCTGGCTACTGGGGAGGGGCGGAGGGAGAGAAGGAAGCCGGGTGCACGTCGTGTGTGAAGTGATGCCCGCGCGTCCCGTTTGTTTGCGGGGAGAGAGCAATCGGAGCCCGCTGCTTCTCCTCCGGTCCCCGCCTCGCACCCCAGCTCAGTAGCGTTCGGTCCCCTATCCCCCCTCCCCCCAACTCTGGTCACTGCTTGATTCTCAGCAGGACCAAGTCCGACTTGTTCCAGCGGCGTCTGTTTGCCCCGTTGGTCCACAAAACGATGAGCAAGGGGTCCCCCTCTTCCTCCTCCCGCCCCGACCGACTGATGTGGAGGTTGAGCAAGGAACCGAGATCGCACGGACGAGCGGCCGAAATTAATAAACTAGACCAGGATGCTGGCTACCAGAACTACACGAATCCAATGAGAGCTTGTGCCTTTAAAGGGAACATTTGATCTTACCGACGAAATATGGCAGCATGTGGGGGGATTAGGGTCCATCTGACACTTCTAGCCTTTATTATGCACGGGAAATCCTTTTAAAGCCCGCATGGGGCTTTTCTCCCCTCTCCCCTGTAGCTAGAGGGTTCCCTCTCCTGTAGTTTATACTTACAGGTTTTACAATTGTATCTGTTGATTGGGATACTCAAAGCCCTTTGTTCAGTATGCAAATATAATGAATGGTTAGCGTATTTTAATTTCTCGGCGGAGTCCGATTTCATCTTTCGTACCTATCAACACTCCGCTGGCGTTGGCCACTTCTGCCTCCCTTCTCCCTCCTCTCCCCCAGCACAATCTTTTTTTGGCAGTTCAGGAATGTCGGTGGCTCACACTTGTAATCGGCATTTAGAAGGATACGCAATGGAGTCCAATCTGGAAGAAAGGAGTGACCAAAAAAAGAGAAGCGGTAAAGGAGAGAGGGTCAGTGCCAGGAAAATAAAGTAGGTCCTAAAGGCAGAATCTCAGGTGGGTTTTCACTGAAAGGAGGTGGCATATTCACAATAATATAAGGAAAAGGTTAAATACAGTAAACATGATAGCCAATTCCAGGGAAAATATAAAGCAGTTAGATGGGAAAGGAGAAACTGACTCAAGAACTCCACCAAGGGACAAACAGATGAAATGACACCACTACAGCACAGAAAATGTGTTGACCTTTCATCTTTTAAAAGTGTCTGACTGAATTTTTGCCTTTGTGTCCTGATCCCCCACTTCCTTTCCTGCAACACCACCTCCTCCTTCCAAAGCTTCTTTAGTTTATAAGTGACTATTCTAGGAGCATAGTTGGATTGAGCTGGAACAAGTGCTGATACTTGCCAATGTCTTTACAGCCTTGAAACCACGTTTGCAGTGTAGTAAAGATGTAATGGACTGAAGTGGTTAAATTATTCATTGCAATAACAGCCTTTTGATGGACAGTAAAACTTAAGAATTTAAATAAGGAAGCCACAGATTTCCTTTTAAACAGATAATAATTGCTTGCTTTCCTGGTTATTTACTTGGATACTAGCCAAACATAAACCAGCCTGTTTAAATCACACAACTCTCTATCCTTGTTTCTTATATGCCGAAAAGACTAGGTCCAAAAAAATATTCCTAGGTAGAACAAGGATTGTTTGCCATTCAGAACAGGGAATAGGTAGCTGAAGTTAAGCCATGGCAGTGTTTAATCAAAACTTTACATTCCAAGGACAAAATCTGAACTTGCCTTATTAAAAGAAATAAAAGATTGTTTTCATCTAAGGATGATTCCATTGCTCTTTCTGAATTTTAGATTTATAGAGATTGCTTTGAGATTAGAATCAAATTTAGCAAAAAGTGTTTTCTATTTGTGTTTAGCAAGATTTCAACTGTTCATGTTACTATTCTTTACAAGTCACAGTGGTTTAACCTGAGGATAATTTTCTATATAAAAATCTTTTCATGTAATATTGGTTTTAAAATGTTATCCATAGACAGAAATAGTGATATTTGCCTATTGTTTGAAAAAAAAAAACTAATTTGTTTAAGTAGGCTGCAAGAGTTATAAATAGATTTTCTTTAAAATCTCAAGGCCATTAGTAAAAGCTTTATTTTTTCCCTGTAAATGGGTTTTCATAGTAGGCTAGATATTGCCTTGATTTACACATCGTAGGCAACCCACTAACTTCACTGGAGTTGCAAGGGTTGAATCTGTGCCTATAACTTTATATTCTTATTTTTAATTAAACTTTTAATTAAACTTTCCATTCCTGAAGAGGACAAATTAGACAGATTCAAAATATAGGTATCTCTATCTCAAAACTTGAAGAGATTTCAGAATTATTAGTACCCTACATATGAAATAGTTCATAAGGTCATTTCAAGGAGATAAAAAGTGTAGGATTTAAATAAAATACCTAAGACTGAAATATAATTTTATAAAAACAGAATGAAAAAGGATACATATTTTATACAAAAAATAAATGGGAACATTTTATATATACTGGATGTTAATACCACTAACATAGGAATACTTCATAGTGTTGCTGTCATTTTTGGAAAGAACTTAGATAATGTAGGTCCTTTGATGATATAATCTGTCATATGTTGATCTAATAGTGAGCTTATCAGGAAGATTTAAATATTAAAGCTTTACAATTACTGGATCATATTATAATGATTTGCATGACATTTATAGCAGTCAAAGGAGTTTCCTTATTTGTAAGTAGATATATTATACTTTACTTTATATATTTTTTAAAATGAAGATTTTCACAAGAACCAATAACCATTTCAATTTATTAGCATTCCACATTAGAAATATTTTTGTAAATTGGAGCCAGAAATGTACATTGCTATCCTAAACATATTTGAGTTAAACAACAACTGAGCACTCAGTGATTTGTTAAAGTCAGACACACTCTGATGATTTTCCTTGCTGTCTCTGAATTCAGGATTATCTAACAGAAACAAATAATTGTAAGATCACAGATTGTAACAGACTATAGGTGCAAACATGTCAGTTACAATTGCATTTTATTTTCTTTCATTTGTTCATTCAGGGTTGAGATTAGAATTCCAATGTTTCCCTAAAAAAATGATGCTACGTACAAAATATTGCTTGCTTTACCCACACACGCAATCCCATTAATAGGGCCCTACCAAATTCACAGTCCATTTTGGTCAGTTTCATGATCATAAGACTTTTTAAAATAGCAAATTTCATAATTTCAGCTGTTTAAATCTGATCTTTCACAGTATTGTAATTTTATGTATCCTGATCCAAAAAGAAGTTGATGTATGTGTGTGCACAAGATTATTTAGGAGTGGGTTGTGGTACTGCTACCCTTACTTCTATGCTGCTGTTGGTAATGACACTGCCTTCAGAGCTGGCAGGTAGAAAACGGTGACTGCTAGCCAAGAGCACAACTCTGAAGGCAGAGATGCCACCAGCACTGCTCTGAAGTAAGGATGACATGGTACAGTATTGCCATCCTTATGTTGCTCTGCAGCTACTTCTGTGCTGCTGTTGCCAATACACTCCGAACTCTGTGTGCCCAGTTCTGAAAGCAGCAGTGCAGAAGTAAGAGTGACATGGTGTGGTATTGCCATTTTTATATCTGGACTGCTACTAGTGGGGCATTGCTTTCAGAGCTGGGTGCCAGGCCAACAGTTGCAGCAGTGCAGATGTAACGGTGGCAATACTGTGACCCCCATAAAATAACCTAAAGAACCCCCTACAATTCCCTTTTGGGCAGCACTTGCTATTTGCACAACACTGGTCTCCCTGTTGAAATCTGTATTGTATAGGGGAAAGCATACAGAATACTAGATTTCATAAGGGGAGACCATATTTCATGTTCTGTGACTTGTTTTTGATGGCTGTGAACTTGGTAGAGCCATTTATTTCATTGGGACTTCTTGGGGAGAACAAGGTAAACAGAGATTATTTGAAGGGAGGATGAACTGTTTTGTTTTTTGGAGAGGCTTTTAAAAAAATTCTTTCTGTCCCCAGACTATAGATCCAGGTCTAATTTTTGGCATGGATCTTCTTGTAGTGTAATAATGATAATTAAACATCACTTTTCATCAGTAGATCTCAAAGCATTTTACAAGGCAGAGAAGTAACATTGTCCCCATGAGAAAGACAAAGGTGAAGTGACTTGCCTAAGGTCAGCCAGAAAGCCAGAGGCAAAATAGGGAATAAATGCAGGTCACTTGAGTGTCACTCCAATGTTCTGTCTATGACAGAATAAGAAGCAATGGTTTCAAGTTGCAATGCGGGAGGTCTAGGTTGGCTATTAGGAAAAAATTGTTTCACTAAGGAAGGGTGGTGAATTATGGGAATGGGTTGCACAGGGAAGTGGTCTAATCTTCATCCTTACAGGCTTTTAAGGCAAGGCTTGACAAAGCCCTGGGTTCAAAGATTTAGTTGGAATAGATCCTGCTTTGACTAGCTGAGCTCTCTTCCAAGCCTAATCTTCTATGATTCTACAGTTTTGCCTTTTAGTCTGCACTGTCTTCTACTGCTATGCTTGCTTAATGTTTAGTAGTTTCTCTTTAATATTTTTTGGAAATACTTATTTTACCAAAAATGTTATATAATGATCACAATTGAAAAGGGATTTTAAAAATATATTGTGAAAGCTTCTAATGATCTGAGTAATATTCCCAATCCTAAAAATGGAGAATGCCACTAGAATCAGTCACATTTCTCAGCATGGAAGAAAATTTTGAATTGCATTTGTTCATTGTGGCTCCCGTCTGGAAGACTAGCAGTGCTAGTCTAAGAAGCAGAAAAGTACATGGGGGAAGAATAAGCTATCTCAGAAAGAAAGAAAAAATAGTAGGAAGTGGAGTGAAGAAGCATCTGGAAGCTTTTTCTCTTTAACTGAGGATCTGTTGGAGAGGCCAAAATATAAAGAGGTTCAAACCAAGGAGGGTTGAGAGTGAA